GTATTCATTGAAAGAGACTGAGCCCATGAAATCCAGCCACTGGTTGATCTATCCGTCATTTATTGAAGGAAAAAACTTGCCAGAATAATAACTGCTGTTCAACAGATACGGTCTTTTCTAGAGTTATTATTCTCTATGGTCACAAGCAGGTAGAGCGGTATCACAACGATTGCATAAAAAATACCACGGCGGTCTGTAGTTTATAGCGCCAGATACGAGAGTGGGGAGTATGCACGCCACCCGTAGCCTCTCATGAGTAACATAATTGCAGAGAAGATCAAAAACCTAAGATTGCCCGGAGAAGTACCAACATAATAATTCATAGAAATTCAATTGCTGAAGATTATATACCACGCAAACATTGAAAGGTTGCCTCAAAAAATATGACAATATGTGAGGTTCACGATGAGTGTTGAGATGATGAGTGGAGCTGTGCTGGTAAGAGGAAAAGAGAAACGGAGAATAAAATATACATCATGGCACCGTGGCACAAATAAATCATATCATCATTTGGAGGAAACTGAAGTGGTAGAATGTACAAATGTTTACGTATGCTACTAGGGAGACCCAGCTGAATCCAGTGAAAAAATAGTAGAGAGTTTTCACATGGCTAACGTATTAAACGAGAGAAAATATGTGAAAAATTCCCGCACCTTGGTTATTTTCCAGAAACACCATTAAATCAAGAAATATTATGAAGCAATTTCTCATAAATGTGGATGATATGAAAATAACTCACACATAAAGTTGCACATATAATCCAGATTCATATAATATTGAATCAGACAATGTTGTGATGAGTAATGATGAAATATAAATTGACCCGAATGTTCGTTGATAATGTTCACGTATATTCGTAAGAATGTAGATCACTGGGGTGCAGCGTCGACATTTTGCACCGTCAACGGCTACGGCACCTGAAACGTTCAACGCCTCTGGGTCAGTTTGTCAGACACAGTTAATTAGTACTACGACGATTCGTTAAGTCACCTTGTAACTTATAATGCCGGATATCTACGAGATGAGGCAAAAGACTATATATTCAATAAATCGTTTAATTACTAAAGAAGTTGATTCTTCCTGAGCGATATTCATTTCTCAATTATCCGCGAGTGATCTTTTTTGTGAAATTTGTGAAAACATTTTGTGAAAAAAACGATACGTCGGAACAGCGATGTATTATTGTATATAATGAAGAACTCGGGTGCACATGTTTTCGAAGGCCTGAAATTTACGAAATTGTATAAAGCAAATGCAGGCGAGTAATTTGAACGCATTCAATGGTCTCGGGAGTGACGAATATTATTGCCCTGCGGGGGAGGCAACACTGATCTATCAGCATAAACGACCAATCCCAGATCTTTTCTCGTAGCAGGCTACCAGTGCACACGAGGCTGACCAAGTGATAACAGACGTCTCTTTGTTATAGTGCATTATGACCACACCCTCCTGCGATTTTCAATACTAGGAACATCTATAGGCCATCTTTTATACTTGTGTTCTATACATATAAAGATTTTGTAACGGAAAGTTTGCCTGTATTTGTATTTCTGCATAAGATGGCATCAAGTCTAGAGACCTCAAAATCTTAGACCAGGGAGGGTGCAGCGTATCATACAAAATGCAGACCTAGAACATTAAAAAAAAATACCGTGTAAAGTTGGGATAATGGACAAAAATAAAGTGTTGAAAATAGTGAGTGATCACGCAATAATTAATCGTGATGAAGCCACGCATATCACAAAAATGCAGAAAAAATTAAAATTTGAAAAAATTACAAACGTAAGCGCCCTTGTGCTCACAGCAATCCAATTCTTGTGAAAAGGATGACACAAAAAGTGTAATTAACCCAGTAAGGGCTGCGGATAAAAAAAAGGTGGATAAGGATGATTGACGACAATCTCGACATCCTCACTGCCCCGAATACTGCGATTACATGCTCGGAACAAAAAAGTGGATTAAAGGTCAAGAAAAATCTATCAAAAATGGCCGAAAACAAGAAGGAGAAGTTTCTGGCACCGCTGAAACGGATGAAAATTGCCAAAAAGAAGAAAGCGGTAGTTAAGGCCCGGGAAAAACGGTTCAAAGTCCTCAAAGAGCAGAGAGCCCAATTTAATGCAACGGCAAAATAAAGGCTGCTAGCCAAGTATATTTTACCCCTTTCCTCGGCTTTCACTTTTTTTTTCGTTTTTACTATCTAGGTGTGTATGAGAGGCGTGGTCTTCGTGACTATGTAAGTTGCGACAATTTCCCAATATTCACCTCGAACTCCAACTGCAGTAGCCAGTGCTTCGGTGATTTTCCATCGTTTAAGTGGTTTTTGTTCGTGTTTTTTATTTTTTTTTTAATAGTGAAGTTTTCTTGTAGTGGTTAGTTTTCACTGCTTTTTAGTGTCCCTTCGCGTTTTTCTCATAGTGGTCTTTTTTAAACGGTTTTCTCGCCTTTTCCTGGCGTTTTTTTATAGTACTGTTTTTGATAGTCTCATTTTTTTTTATTGAAAGTGAGACACATACGATTTATACCGCTTCCACCTACTTCGAGAATTTTACTACAAACATCTCGGAATGCTTGATGCACCCACATACGTGCATCATATCCTTCAGGAACAAAATTAATTTCAAACTCCAGTAATGTAGTAATGTATCCGTGATGGCCTTTACAAACATTTGACATTAAAAAAAAATTTTTTGTTTCCAATGCGATCCTCACCATGGTACTGATCCACTAAATCCAGATTAAACTCTTCAATGGCTTCGAACCTCCTCAGGATTATTAGGTCCAATATCTGCACCAACATATTGTATATCGACAAACTCACGATCAAGATTTTCAAATAAGTGTACCTCAAAATTATGTTGAATTTTAGAATCCTGTCTCATCGCTCGCTAGATATACCTCGAAGAGCCGAAATTTCTATAAGGAAGTTCATGGGTATTTACTGCTGGACTTGAAACAGTCAACTCCAAAAAACTGTAATTTTCGCACCAGTGTACTTCCTAGCGACACTTACGTTTATGTCTCACGTAAGGATTATAATATAAAAGGACATTCATTGTCTCGTGTGCCAGATGTTCGTGGATAATGGTCAAGACAAGTTGCCCGAAAGGCTCTGCATACAAAACGTTCGGGAAAAAAATACAGCATTATTACATGCACTCACACACACCTCACCTAGTTTCGATGAGTAATAATACAACACACTCATAAAGATTTAATGCGCTGCATTTGTGAACGTTTTCTAAATGTAGTACATAGGAATATTCCCCTGACAAATTGTGTAAAATCAAATTTGTGTTGACGTAAAAAAAATTTGAGAAAATTGGCCAATAAAAATCAGAGTTTATCCAGAAAAAAATGATCGTTCAGAAAGAGGGTGCAATTTTGCTCATGCTATTGGGCCTTCTCATAAGTCTGCCTATTTCAGCAATTTTTTAGTGATGGAACATGCGCGAAAAATGATACTTGTACCAGAGAATAACATGAAAAAATTGAAGAAAAGCTCGACAAATGATGCTCATCATGTTCAAAAGGAATTGCTCAATGAGCTTCAGCCATCGGCCCAAACCCTTCATAATGTTATAAGTCGTCTGGATTCTCAATTATTGGCGATTTCAAACTCTAAAACCCCAAAGATAATGGTGAAAAGTGGAAGATGTATAATGATGTGCTGAGATGGTATGTATTGTATATAGAACAGAGTAAACCGTCGGTACCAGAATCCTTAAGACACCATGGGGTCTTCTACACCTTATGACCCAAAAGCTATTTGGCTACCGTACCTACGGTATACCGACGAAAAATATTCCGCAGGAATACTTCAATATGTTGTGGACACTGGGTCACCAGGTAAGCCAAAATATAGGATGAATGAACCTTTCAGGTATCTTGACCGTGACTAGCAACAACAGGTAGTGTCCGGAGGAGGAAAGATCTTATAAATCTCACTCAATATGGGGGGCCTATTGCGTGGGACTAAGCACAGAACTGCACAATGGTTACTAAGTGAGGAATTAGCACACAAAGAGAAAGATACCCTTGAGTTCCCTTTAAATAGAATTTAAAATTTATTACACTTCACTTGAAAATACAGAATAGTAGAAAGTCCAAGATAAAAACCGGGGAATAGTTCCCTTTAAATAGAATTTAAAATTTATTACACTTCACTTGAAAATACAGAATAGTAGAAAGTCCAAGATAAAAACCGGGGAATAGGGGTAGAAAAAGTGTAGGTAAGAATAGTGTATATGTTGTTGGTGTGTTTGTTCGGACTTACGGTTGAAGAAAACTGCGGTGTAGGGATGAGTGGGTGATCTCTCTGTGGCTCTCCTCTACGTAGCGGATTCCGGAGTACTCCGAAGATGTGCTAGATGCTCTAGCACTGATGGAGCTGAAGAACCCCGAACACGCTTCCTGGACGGTGGTGAAGGTGATAAGGTGGCTCTGGAGGTGTTGCTGGTGACAGTGGGCCTGAGTTTAAGTAAAACTCGGTTGACCACTGGGTTTGGATGCTGGTTTGCGGTGCTCGGTAGAAATGGCCTGGGCTAGATGCCCGAGTTGAACCCAGTCAGATACTGAGAAAGTCACTAGGTCGTTGCTGGCTTGTGTAGAAACCTCGGCTGATAGCTCGGGTTGAACTCGTTGTATGGCTCAAAGATTTGCCAGGTCGTTGCTGGGCTTGCAGAAAACCTCGGCCGAGAAGCTCGGGGTAAACTCAGTTAAATACTGAGAGAATCACCAGGTCGTTGCTGGCTTGCAGAAAAACCTCGGCTGAGAAGCTCGGGTAAACTCAGTTAAATACTGAGAAAATCACCAGGTCGTTGCTGGCTTGCAAAAGCTGGGTTCCAACAGACGGATCTTGAAGGATGAGCTTTAATGATGAGCAAGGCCCCTCGTTGAATACCAAGAGTCGAAATTTTACTTTGGACTCGTTGGCTAAAGTTGCACACTCAATCTGGAGTTGGAAGTTGAGTTAAGTGCTCGAACTGTACCCCAATGGTGACGTCAGAGGGTGGTCCTGCAGAGTTTCCCCCTTGAAGACTGATCTTGGAGAGTCGACTGGTTGAAGAGCAGGATACCACTTGAAGATGATTAGGAGTCGAACCTTTAATTTAGACTGCCTTGATCTGGCGAAAAATCGCCCCTTATATACTGTTCGGGCGTGATTCCCCTACGTCCATCGATTTTTTGATTCTTCGTCACTTGACGTTTTTTGAGATATGGAGGGAGGTATCTTCATATGTTTGACAATGTATTCAAAAGGGATGTTTCCGGACGATGTACACTCCCTCTAGTATCACCCCCCTGTTTTCCCAGGTGTGGGAGAGGGTTTTGAGAGAAAGACGGGACGATCGATCGTTGGCCTCTCTCTAATTAATGTTCTTCTAATGTCAAAACTGGCATGTTTATGTATTTTCCTGACACTCACGGCCCATAAAATAGACGTCTTCTTTGACGATGGATAACTATTGTTCATTAGAAAACTGGCGTGTCAAGCGGAGTGGATCCTTTGAGGATGGAGGTGTCCCCTTGTTTGGACAACTAAAAATCATCTGGTGAATCGTGCCAATTCCTGGCAGCCATCTCATAACTTTCATTGGGCATGGGGTTTCGATGACATCCCGGTTCGAGCCAACCCCCTGTAACCAATGGGGGGAGATACTCTTGCCAGATGTACCCCCCCTTATTGGTCTGTTTTTTCTTTTGTCGATATCGACAAACCCATAGTTGAGACAGTCCATTTTTGAATTACCGACATCTTATTTCTTTGAGTCTATTCTCTTCTGTGTTTACCATTGAAGGGTTGTTTATATTGGTGCCCCCATGTTCAATTGAGAGAAGAAAAGAAGTCAAAAGGATCTCTTTAGTTATGCCTTCGAGCAATTTGTATGGCCTCCTCTAGATGTTTTGTGATTTCCAGGTGTTGTCCTTTGATGGTCATTCCTTGACCCTTCGGAGGCCCGCATGATGATGACTGCTTGAGTGTCCCCCCCCCCAGGGGGTCTCCTTTCGTCACGTTAACCTCACATAATCGATGTTTTGACTGGGTTTTCCAACACTCCTCACCATTGTGCAGGGTTTTTCCAAGTCCCTTTGTATTATTTATAACTTAGTGTTGTACCAGGTTTTTTTTTTATATATTTATTACATAGAGATTTTTACCGTAGTAAATAGCGGTGTCTGCAACAAATATATTGACAGTATTGACACGGGAAAAAGACTCAATCGAAAGGCAACAGCACGAAACTATGGACGTGGTATCATTAACAGATGTGAATATTGTTGATTAGATACAAGATGTTGTACGAGCACGAAAATCATATCCAGATAAAGGTTGGGAAGATTTTGCTGTTCGTCTCTAACGTCTAAATACCCCCGAGAGTTGATAGGCAATGCAAGTTCCTACGGCCGGTACTACCTACTATTCAACGTTGCGATGATTCAATAATTTCAGAACATGAAAACAACTCTGTAGATACGTGATTCTTAGAAGGGTAACACACCACGCAGTTCTCTTGTACACCATACCCGTACAAACTTGCAGAAAGCAGCGCCACCATCTGAAGGAGAAATCGATCCCATCATGGCTAGCATTTTAAATGACGATGACAAATTATCGTAGCCATATTTCAACATTCCACACCCGAAGGCGAATACAGGGGCGAGAGATATTCTCTCATGATATTAAAATAAAATTCTTGGGAAAGAATTAAAAGCCGGTTAAGTACTCAAAATGCTTAATCGACTCATTGGACATAAGTTTCCACGGCTATATTGAACAGTGGCAAACATTGACGATGGTGGCTTATTTGATTGAGATCTTTGAAAACATACAATGATGGTACTCACTATTTACTTGTAGTTGATGAGGTTTTCAGCAAGTTGGCCTGGGTTGAACCGCTGAAGGATAAATCAGCATCTGAGGTGCTTGCAGATTTCAAGCGTATATTGGGAAGGATAGACAGATGAATACCTGTTTCCATACAAACTGACAAGGGGATAGAATTCATAGCTGCTAGTGTTCAAAAAATTTTTTCTCATGAAAAAAAGCAATTTTTTATCACACGTATTCCCGACATTTGTAACGGGCACAGGGGATGCCCGTTAGAATCCCCAATAAAATTCAAAAATGAGAGACAGTGAGAGTAGTAGGACAGGGGTTAGGTTTAGGAAAATTAGGATTTCCTCCTTTCGGGGTGGTTTAGAGCAGGCTAAGGGTGAGAGGGATTTTTAGAGGATGAGAGAGTAAGCCCTCCGGGTCGGATAGATCCGGCTAAAAAGCCGGCGCTCTAGGGAAAAGGGTTCTGCGGATTAATTGGTACGGGTGGAAGGCCGTACGGGGTAAAAATATTAACAAACCCGACGGATTGCCAAAGACTGATGACGGGGGGAAGGTCGTACGGGGTAGATTCAGTCACTACCCCTATGAATTGCCAAGACTGAATACGGGTGGAAGGCCGCTCGGGATAAAATCAGTCGTTATCCCGGCGGATTGCCAAATAAATTAAGGGTTAGAAAACCAAAATTAGGTTTAAGGATTAGGAATTAGGGTCTTTTAATTCCAAGAATCCTGGAGAACCGATCCGGAAGAAGAGAAGAAGGCAATAGATAAATTTTAGGATTGGGCAATTAATTCAAATTTCAATTAATTCCCCCGCGAAGGGCTTGGCCGATAATAAGGTAGAGGGATCCACCAATCGACACCCGATCGATTGGTAGGCGTGATTAGGGGGGTCAGCGTCACGTGACACTGACCTCCGAAAATCAGTTGCGCATTAGTCGCGAGAAAATACGCACGTGAGTGAAGTGGAGCTCCCAGGACATAAAGAGAGTGATACAGTGTACCACCCAGGACGCCAGGACAATTAGCGGCCCCCAGGATGGTCCTGAAACGAAAAAGGAAGGCAGCGAGGAAATCTACCGTGAGTTTTTACGGTTATATTTA